ATTTACTGAGCTGAAGACACTGGAAGAAGAGCAGATTCAAGTGATGATGTGAAGACATGAGGAAAGATGATCAGGAGGGGCCCTACTGGTCCTGAAGTGCCATCACCACAATTCAAGTTTCTAGTTGGGTTGGTCAATGGGAGGCACTCTCAGTAAAGATCAGTTTAGTACCACAAACAGGCAATATCATCTTGAAGACAATGTCTTATTGAGGCTTTTGTGAAGACTCTGGGATAGTCTCTCCCAAAATGGTCTAAGACATGAAGTACAGTTCATCTAAATTTCTCTACACTGTGTCAATGCTCTTCAATATGTCATGGAAAGTTGGGCAAAACTGTACAATGCATTTATTTTCTACCATACTCAAGATGTTCTTGTAGCACTACACACATGAATGAGTAATGCCAACATCAAGCTAAAATGTCCTTGAAAGGAAATGAAGTTTGGAATTTTTTTAAGGCCAATTGCCCACTAAAATAGTTTCTGACACATAAGAGAATTTTTAGGTTTCCTTCCAAATTCAATGTTCTGTGACATGAAAGGCACTAGATGAGCTGAGACAAATTCAAGTGATGTGTTCAAAAGTCATGGTAATGCCCTGCCTGTCCCCAGATCACTCAGCGTTCCACTTCACTTTAACAAAGATCGATTCCAAAGTCAACTAATTTCATGAGCTAGTATAAATAAAATTATTAATAACTTTGCAGTCTTCAAATCAGATAACATGATTCAATTCATGGAGACACAGCATACTTTGAATTTTCCATGTCTCCTCTAATTTTCCTGTAAGAATGTAAAGAGTCTGAAAGAAAATATGCCTTTTCAGTTGCTCAATTTGCCTGAAACATGTCTTCTCAATCTGTAACAGGAAAGGCTTTGTTCTCTCTTTCTCCCCCATATTCTCTATGGATGCCATTTTCTTTCAGCAGCTCCACCAAGCCCCAGAGCACTGAACACCAGAACCTCAGCAGCCTGGTGCTGTTCACCCCTGTTCTCAGCGTCACAGAGACACACGCAGGGGAAGCTGTGAGACGCTGAGCCTTCACCTGCGTGGGAAGTGAACTGGAAGACCACTGCCAATGGGCACAGATTATAAGAAGTCATGTACCCAGCTCTATTTACATTTCAGGGTGCAATTGAGCCTGTAACATTTCTGTGCCATCGGTTTATTGTTACCCCCTAAAATCATCACTTTTTAAGCTGTTTACAAGATCAAAGCTGGTCAGTATACTACTACTGGATAGAGTTATCTGAAACTTGTAAACAAGGAATACCTCCGTTCTTCAAAATAAATGAAAGAAGAAGAGATAATCACACATGCACAGAGCTAGCCAAGGAGGCAGAGAGAACATAATGCGCCCCAGCCAGCCCAGCTGTTAATAATGCAATGTGCATCCACCAAGGCTTTGTTGAGAACCTACCGTTTGTAAGACACTGTGAAGGGCTCTTCAGGACCCACAAATGAGTGAAGACCTCATCCAGAACGCACACGCGGTACTGTCTGATACACAGTGCCAGAGAAGGATAAAGGGCTGTGGGAGAGAAGAAGTAAGAAGGATCATTCCTTTTGGCCTGGGATAGGAGGGCAAAGATGCTGGAAGACTTTGTGGAGGAAGCAGTATTTGTACAAGATCATCTTGAGAGTTGGGTAAGATTTGGCAATAGGAACAAGAAGGGCAAAGGTATGAAGAACACTCTGATAGTTAACAAGGACCATAGCCAATTCTGGGTAGCTTCAGCACTGAGGAATTTATGGAAAGGATTTTGAAATGTCCCATCCATAGGAAGGAACTAAGGCAGCATGGAGGCTGGAGAGCAGGCTCTGCTCCAGTTGTGGGGTCAGACACAGGCAGCCATGGCCAGGATGCAATTCTAGTTGGATCCAGCTGTTTTTCCCTCTGCTCAAGGTTCAAATTCCCAGGAGTGAAGCTTCGAGGGAGCTGGTGGCCTCGTGACTCAGAAAGGGTGGAGCTCCCAGTGACAGCCTCAGCCAGCTGTCCAGTAGGGGAGAGGAAAAGGAAACCACATGCTCTTAGAAAGGGGCAAAGCATGTTGGGCACATCTTGGCTGGAAAAGGGTCTGACGCTTTATTCATCAGAAATTGGGGACGTCCCTTTTTTCTTTCTTTTGCAGCTGAAGGGCATGAGTCAAGCTATATTCTCATATGATCTGGGTACTCTGAAGGCACAGGATTGCAAAGGCTCTAGGGTGGTAGGGAGCAGCATGTGGCATTTCCCAGGAACAGAAAGAGGAGCTGGGGAGGCTGGAGTGCAGGAGACAAGAAGCTGTGGGCAGGCTCAGGCCGAGCTGTCTCAGTCAGGGTGAGAGAAGCAGAACCATTAGGATGGTATAGAGCAAGCAATCGTAGGAGCGGGAGAAATAGATTCAAGACGCAGTTTCTTCTTCAGCTGAGCCTGAAGTTGTAGGGCGGGTGATCAGGACCTTGAAGTACGGGAGAGCCCAAGAGGGATGAGCTAGAACCTGCCTCTGTCTCTCACTGAAACCTGCACTGACCTTTCCCCTCTCCCAATTAGAAATGGCCTCTGCCAGTTGATTGTCTTACCTAAGATATGCATTAATGTTTGCCATAGGAACGGTGCCTCCCTACATGCAGCCCTTTTGCAGTCCACAACCTGCACAACCATGCATAGTGACACTAACACACACACACACGCACACACACATGCACGCATGCACACATATTCTGTGTCTGAGAGTAATTATTGAACCACTTTAAAAAGCTGCACTGCTTTCTCAGCATAACAGATATTGTGCTAAGTGTTCCGGACTTAGCATGAATTTCTCAAGGCAATAGTTTCCTGGACATCCATCTCTAAGCATGACATGAAGGACCCTAAGCAGTGGCCCTTACACTCCTTCCATGGTTCCAAAATTCTTCCCCACTCTAATCTACCTCAGGGCCTAAAAGGCCAACTTTGCTTCCCATTTTAGCTCAAAGCACTCAGAGCCCCTGTTAAATACCAAAGTGTCCGTAGAGAAGGTGTCTCTTATTTACAAGCTACTGTACTTAAACTTCAGCCCCTAAAAGGGCCCTGAGAGATTGGTACCCAGGATATATAAGTTTTGATGGGAGAGGGGAAGGAGAGAGAGAAGTGTCTGATGTTCCTTGCATACTACAAGCAGCTCAGGTACAGGATGTTTGTCAGATGAGAGGTAGAGAGATGCTGAAGGCAACTGTCTCACTTGACCCATTTTGCCATCAGTGGGTCCTGGCCAGAATGTACCCTTTAGATGGATTTGTCACTGCAGAGATTCTGACACTCCTGGCTGGAATGGAAATTTATCGAGGATAGAAAAATAGCATCCAAAGAATGTGTCAATGACAAAAGCGAGTCTGTTCACAACAAAAAAGAGGTGCCCCTGGTCGCAGTGTGAAGGACAGATGGGGTAAGTGGAAAAGGTCTAGTGGGGAGACTGCAAACCAGACTCGGAGAAACACATAAGATCGTTATGATGGAGAGAGGAACATTGAGAAAGCATCGAGCCTCTTCAGGGGAGGCAGCGTGGTCAACAACATGCACAGAGCCTGTGGTCTTGCACACAATCGACTGTTCCACTGGCTGAAAATGTACCCTTCGGATGGATTTATCATTTCTGGCTAGAATGGAAAACCCCCATGCCTGAAGGATCTGCCCTGGGCAAGAGAAGTGGCCACAGAGGCCCTTTAGTGTCTCCCCGGCTGTGTCTCTTTCTCTGATGTGCTTCCTCCCATCTCCAGGACCTCTAGAAGGCCGTCCCATTTAGAGTCCCTGGCACCCATGCCTGTGGAACCAAGGACATTAGCACTGGGTGTCTTTCAACTTTATTCTTTGCTTTTCTTGGCAAAGCTCCTTCAACAGCCTTAGACAAAAAACAGTCAGGATGAAAGCATCTCGGAAGAACTTACACAATAATCCTGTCACTTGCGGACTTAGAAAAAGGATCAGCTTTTCCTGAGAAAGTGACAAGCCACAGTGTGACCCACTGGCTGTTATCAAACCCTTCCCTGGAGCCTGGGGGCCTCCAGCTCAAGCCAGGTCCCTTGAAAACCAACCCTCAAAGCCCTTGTCTAGAAGAAGCAGCTGCGGCTGCCTTGGGCATGACAATTTCTCATTTATTATGTGCTTTTCAGAAGACATTGCCAACCAGCAACCAGTAATGGATCCTACTTGTGAGTCAATGAACACAATTTCAATCCATTTCTGCAGATGAAAATGTTAATAACTTTGCACTTTCTCCATGCATGGAAACACGTATATACACACACTCACCTCCCTCAAACCTAGTGCACATTAGATAATGAAAACAAACAGAAAATTCCTAGCAGTATATTCTTGATACATTCTACATCTTCACAGAAACTGTCATTGCAAGTCAGTACTTGCCTACATACATCTAATAATTTTCTTTTTGAATTGCACAAGGAACCATCAGCAAATGATCACTTTTTGCTTACAGAAAAGTCAAAATAGATTCTCTTTTCTTAAGCTTAAATTGAAAGCATAATATTAATTCAGGCTAAAGGTAGCTAGCACATTTTTCCTGATGACTGTGTGACGCAGTCAGCTTCCTCTGGAGTCATCAACGTTCACAAGTCAAGATGGAAAAGAGGCAGGAGTAGAAGTGGGGAAGGTGCGTTCCGAAGTCAAGGTGTTTGCTGGAGCAATGTAACCTTCCATGAAAGTAGTTTGTGACCCATTCAGCTAATATAAAAGCCCCAGTCTTCGGGACCAAGTAAACTTGGTTGTAAACACGTTATAAGTTCCTGGCATCTAGAGTGAATCCCCCCACACACACATTTCAGTCACTTTGCCTTTTTGTCTCTCTAACCTATTCCCTCACACTGCTGTCTCTTTCTACAGGAAAGCACCTCCACACTCTTGCTTATCTCTGAGCTGATGGTGGATGCATTACCTGGACTCTAAGAAATGCTACACTTTATTTTTGTCTGATCTTTAAAATTTTTTTCCTCCCAACTTATTTGTCCTTTTGGCTTCTAGGTGGACATGCCCAGCAGGCTGCATTTACCCTGCTGATCTGTGGGCTATTTTCACCCTTCTCGGTGAGTGCTTTTTTTCTACTCTGATGCCAGTCTCATCCCCTGAGGATGGCCCATGGTAAATCACCCCTTCTCAGAAACCTGCTTTTCACATGAGCAGTCTAGTGGGAATCTTGAACTGGGAGCTTCGTAGGTTCTCCAGCTGCCCCTACTCCCATCTTGAAGGCCCTGCCCAGAGCAGATGTTCTGGAAATATGTGATGCAGGAATGTATAAACCCGGTTCAGTTCTCTCATCGACAAGATGAAGAAACTTAGATTTAAAAAAATAATAACTTGTCACACAGAGAATGGGTGACAAAGATGAGGCCAGGAAGTCAAGACTATGGTGTGCTATGATACCACCGGTGAATAGCTACTGCACCAGCAGGTTGTCCACCCTGGGCAACACAGTGAGACCCTGTCTCTAAAAAAAAAAATTAATATTTCCTAATTTGTAAGGTAAAAATTGATACATTTGAGTTGCTTTAATTTCTATTTTCTCAGTTCTCCATGAGGTTGAACATTTTCTCATTTAAAGTACTGGTCATATTTTTATTCTTTTTATTTTTATTTTTTCTGGGGGGGTGGAGTCTCACTTTGTCGCCCAGGCTGGAGTGCAGTGACGCGATCTCAGTTCACTGCAACCTCCACCTCCTGGGTTCAAGCGATTCTCTTGCCTCGACTGACCGGCGAGTATCTGGGATTACAGGTGCGGGTGCCACCACGCCTGGCTAATCTTTGTATTTTCAGTAGAGACAGGGTTTCACCATGTTGGCCAGGCTGGCCTCGAACTCTTGACCTCAAGTGATCCACCCACCTTGGCCTCTCAAAGTGCTGGGATTACATGCATGAGCCACTTCTCACCCAGTCTATATTTTTATTATTTTTAAAATTTGTGTGTGACCTTGCCTGTTTATCTGTTAGAATATTAGTGTTTTGTGTCAATTTATATTAACTTTTTATCTATTATAGCTATAATTTTTATATCTGTTACAAATATACTTTTCCAGTTTTTGTTTGGCTTTTTAAAAGCTAAATGAAAATACAATAAATTGTACACAAAGTGCAAAATTAGACAAAGTTGAACCTACACCATCAACACAATCAAGACAATTAACTTATTTATCACCTCCAAAAGTTTTCTTTGACTTGTTCATTCCCCATCCCCAGGTGACCACTGATCTGCTTTCTGACACTAAGTTTTTCTAGAATTCATGTTAGTGAAATCGTATAATATGTACTCTCATTTTGTTGATACTCTTTCACCTAGCATTATTAATTTTGGCTTCAATCACGTTGTTGTGTCTAACAATAGTTCATTCTCTTTTTCATTGCTGAGTAGTATTCCATTGTATGGTGTTGCCAATTTATTTATTCATTCCCCTGTTAATGGACATTTTGTTTCCAGATCTTTGCTATTGCAAATGAATATGCTATGAGCATATTGTATAAGTCACCTACAAGTCTTCCTGTGGACATGTGCTTTTGTCACTCTTGGAAAAATAATACCTAGTAGTGGAATGGCTGGATCATATAGTAAGTGGATATTTAATGTTTTCAGAAACTGGCAAACTGTTTTCTACATCAGTTATACCATTGTATGAGAGTTCTAATTTCTTCACCTCCTCACTAACATTGTGAATAGTCAGTCTTTTAATTAATTTAATTTGATTTAATAGATTTGTAGTGGTGTATCATCACAGCTTTAATTTGCATTTTTCTGTTGTGGAATGCTGTCAGCCTTTTTCCATGTGCTTATTCCTCACTGTATTCCTTCTTTAATGAAGTATCCTTCAAATCTTTTGCCCATTTTTTTTTGTTTTTTTAATTATTGAGTTTTGACGGTTATTTATATATTCTGTATACAAGTACTTTATTAGATACATAATTTGCAAATGTTTTCTTCCCGTCCGTGGCTTCTTTCTTCCATTTTCTTGGTAGTGTCTTTTGAACAGCAGAAGTTTTAAGTTTTAAATTTTGATGAACTTCAGTTTATCAATTGGCTCCTTTCTGAATTAAGCTTGGCATTGTATCTAAGTATTTTTTGCTTAACCCAAGGTTACAAAGTTTTCTCCTATGTTATTTTCTCAAAGTTTTACCTATCTTGGCAAATACATATCCAATTGCTCTGACCCATTTAAAAAAGAAATTATCCTTTTGTCACAGTATTACCTTTGCACTTTTGTTGAAAATTAGTAGTCTGGATATGTGAAGGTCTAGCTCTGTACTCTATTCTATTCTATTTGTCTCTTTTTCAATCTTTATGTCAATACCACCGTGTCTTGACTACTGTAATTTTATATGTCCTAAGCCAGGCAGTGTTAGTACTCAAAAGTTGTTTTTCTTTTTCATAGTTCTTTTGGCTATTCCAGATCATGTTTTTATATGAACTTCTAGAATAAGTTGGTCAATTTCTACAAAATCATCTGCTGGAATTTTGATTAGGATTGCATTGAGTTTGTAGATGAACGAAGGAAACAACTGAAAATATAATTTCACTTATTGATTAATGAGCATATGATATCCATTTATTTAAGTCTCTTTTAATGTCTTTCAGCCATAGTTTTCAGTATGCAGGTCTTTAACATCTGCTTTAGTCAGGCTTCTCTTTAGGGACAGATCTTTAGCCAGATCTCTCTCTAAGTATTTCATGTTATATAATGCTATTATAAACGGTATTGTTTTTATAATTTTAATTGCTAGGGTTATTATATTTAACTATTCCTATTAATTTATAAACACAAATGTTTAATTATAATATAAATTTATACATATTTATATATTAATTTATATATATTTATATATAACACAAATTTAATAAAATATTATAGATTAGTATATGATTTAATATATAATTAATATATATATATATTTTTATGATTTTATGAATTAAATATATATACAATAACATATATAC